CTTCCTTCCCTCCTTCCTTCCTTCCCTCCTTCCCTCCTTCCTTCCTTCCTTCCTTCCTTCCTTCCTTCCTTCCTTCCCTCCTTCCTTCCTTCCTTCCTTCCTTCCTTGACTTTGGAGATTGTTATTGATTTCTAGTTTGATTTCATATCTAATGTTGATTTCTATCATATTTCTAACTTTGATTCATTTTTTCCCTCTTCTCTTTGTCCTCCCCTCCCTCTGTCTGTCTGTCTGTCCGTCCGTGTCCGTCCGTCTGTCCTTCTGTGTCTGTCTGTCTGTGACTGTCCGTCCATCCGTCCGTATCCGTCTGTGTCCGTCTGTCCGTGTGTGTCCGTCTGTCCGTGTCCGTCCGTGTCCGTGTCCGTCTGTCCGTCCATGTCTGTCCGTCCGTCTGTGTCTATCTGTCCGTCTGTGTCCATCTGTCCGTCCGTTTGTGTCCGTCCGTGTCCGTCTGTGTCTGTCTTTCTGTCCGTCCGTGCATGTCTGTGTCTGTCCGTCCGTCCGTGTCCGTCTGTGTCCATCTATCTGTCCGTCCGTGTTCGTCTTTCTCTCTGTCTGCCCGTGTCCATCCGTCCGTCCATGTCTGTCTGTCCATGTCTGTCCATCTGTCCGTGTCCGTCTTTGTCCATCTGTCTGTCCGTGTCCATGTACGTTCGTGTCCGTGTCCATGTCCGTCCGTGTCCATGACTGTGTCCGTCCGTCCGTCCATGTCTGTCTGTGTTCGTCTGTGTCCATCTGTCTGTCCTTCCATGTCCGTCTGCCTGTGTCCATCTGTCCGTGTGTGTCCGTCTGTCCGTCTGTGTCCATCTGTCCGTCCGTGTCCGTGTCTGTTCGTCCGTCCATGTCTGTCTATCCGTGTCTGCCCGTCTGTGTCTGTCCATCCGTCCATGTCTGTGTGTGTCCATCTGTCTGTCTGTGTCCGTGTCCGTGTCTGTGTCCGTCCATCCGTCTGTGTCTGTCTATCCATCTGTGTCCATCTGTCTGTCCGTGTCTGTGTCCGTCTGTCTGTCCATGTCTGTCTGTCCGTCCGTCCGTGTCCGTCTGTCTGTGTCCATCTGTCCGTCTGTGTCTGTCCGTCTGTGTCCATCTGTCTGTCCGTGTCCGTGTCTGTGTCTGTCTGTCCGTCCGTGTCCGTGTCCGTGTCTGTCCGTGCGTTCATGTCTGTCCGTCCGTCCGTCTGTGTCCGTCTGTCCGTCTGTGTCTGTCTGTCTGTCTGTGTCCATCTGTCTGTCCGTGTCTGTGTCTGTCTGTCCGTCCGTGTCCGTGTCTGTCCGTGCGTTCATGTCTGTCCGTCCGTCCGTCTGTGTCCGTCTGTCCGTCTGTGTCTGTCTGTCTGTCTGTGTCCATCTGTCTGTCCGTGTCTGTGTCTGTCTGTCCGTCCGTGTCCGTGTCTGTCCGTGCGTCCATGTCTGTCCGTCCGTCCGTCTGTGTCCGTCTGTCCGTCTGTGTCTGTCTGTCTGTCTGTGTCCATCTGTCTGTCCGTGTCCGTGTCCGTGTCCGTCCGTCCGTCTATGTCTGTCTGTCCGTCCGTCTGTGTCTGTCTGTCCGTCTGTGTCCGTCCGTGTTCGTGTCCGTGTCCGTCTGTCCGTCCGTGTCTGTCCGTCCGTCCGTCCGTGTCTATCTGTCCGTGTGTCCGTCTGTCTGTCCGTGTCTGTGTCTGTGTCCGTGTCCATGTCCGTCCGTCCGTGTCCGTGTCCGTCCGTCCGTGTCCGTGTCCGTCCGTGCATCCGTGTCTGTCTGTCCGTCCGTCTGTGTCTATCTGTCCGTGTGTCCGTCTGTCTGTCCGTGTCTGTGTCCGTGTCCGTGTCCGTCCGTCCGTCC